TTAAACAAATTTGGAAGGACTAATATAAAATTGGCTTGATTATAGAGTTTGCAGGTTTAAAAAAAAAAGTCTTGATTAATCATAACCCAAATAAGTAAAGACATAAGATTAATCAGAATGATTTCAGTGCTGAAATCATTAGACAAAGTGTCACAAACCGCAAGATGATTGGTTTTTGTCAAGTTTATTTATTCTGTCTTTAGTGCTATAGGGGTGTGTGTGTGTGTGTGTGTGTGTGTGTGTGTGTGTACGTACTTTCTGGTTAACCAAGTATTTCCTGGAAAATGAATTAACCAGAATACATCATTCTCTGAGTATTTCAGTGAGTTTAAGTATTCTTTATGTGAAAGTTGTAATAAAATTCTATTTCTTTTTCAGAGTATCTGTAACATAGACTTTTTACTAATGTACCCTCACTTTCCTCACTTTATATATAAAATGAACTCTCATTAGTGTGAATTTATGTATAATACAAAACAGATGGACATATTTACAGGGATACTTTACTTCATGCAGTAGGAATACATAACAACATGTTTGGCCTTTTATTATAAACAAAAGTATATATTTAAATGCAGTAGGAACTTACTATTTCAAAAAGTATTTCACTAAGTCTCATAAAATACAGAAGCCTTTGTATACACAGTCCAAAACAGTAAATATTTTTATTCAGCCTTCAGTAACTTTCTAAAGAGCTCCCCCTCCAGCCCATTGCCCCCAAGAGCATTCATTCTGACAGGCCTCTTCCTGTTTTAAGTTTCCAAGTATTGTGGACTGGCTAGAGGATAGAAAATCAAATTTCTACGCATATTTATCTGCAAGTTACATACTTGAAAACTAATGAATAGTGCTACTATTATAAAAATGCCTTTGTGCCTAATAGTTTTGACTCAAAAGGCTGATACATATGTTTACTTCTCAAAAACAAAAACTACTGGTTCATGTTCCTAAAAATATCAATGACAAGCAGTACCAAAAGTAATTCATTTATCTGCAAATAAAAATAAAAATGAAGGAGTATACTATGCACCCAAAGAATGGCTAAAAAAATTTTTTTAAGCTGTCAATATAAAGTGTTGGTGAGGACAGAAGCAAATGAAACCCTTATACTCTGCTCACAAGAATGTAAATTGGGAAAAACACTTTGGAAAACTGTTTATCAGTAGACACTAAAGCTGAACATATCCATACTCTGTGACCCAGCCTTTCCACACAGTGAAATATGCACACACCTGCTCCAAAAGACATGTTCCGTTATGGTGGCATTATTCATAATAGCCCCAAACTGAAATCAACAGAATTGTGGAATGGGTAAATTGTGACAAAGTCATACAATGGAATACCATTGCAGCACCAAAGAGAATCAAGTCCTGCTACACACAGCATGGGTAACTCACAGAGATAATGTTGAGCCACACAAACCAGAAACAAAAGAGTATATATTGTATGATTTCATATTTATAAAGTCCAGAAGCAGGCAAACTTAATTGATAGTAATAGAGGTCAGTATAGGGTTACCTTTGGCAGGGAGAAGGTAGCATCCAGAACCGGGCACTGCGAGGCTTAGGCGGTGTGGATGATTAAGATTGTGTTTACTTCGTAAAGGTACATTCTTAAGATTTGTACACTTTATTACAAGTACTTAAACTTGAAAAGTTAACCCCCAGAAAGGAAGCAAAAGGTAGCAGATTTATTGGAAAAGGTGTATTCCTCTCCCTCACTCTCACTGCAAATTTTACCAAGTCCTTTTCTTTTATTGGCATATGTAATGGAAACAGTCTTCAAGCTATAATCATTATGGGAAAAGAAACAATATCAGCACAAGAAAATTAAGGCCTAAAAGCCCTGGATTCTTGCATGATGGTGACTGTAAACTGAGACTTACATGTTTTGCTTAATTGCATTACATATCACAGAAAATTTAACAGCTTTCCTTGAATTTTTTGACAGGGCCTAGTAGTCCTTCGTGGTACTTGAATCAGTCTTCCCAGTTCTTCTAGTTTTAAGCATTCTGTGATCTATTTCATGAAATTTAGCAGTTTCTCCCTCTTTAATTGCATGGCCTGGGACACGCAGTCCTCTAGGAATTTGTCTTCCCAACAAATTTAAATCCAAATTCCTCCCCCGGGGGAATCTTGCTTTTGTAAACCTTATTGGAAGTGTAGTCGTTTCTGGAGCAAATAATCTTACTTCACTTATGGTGTATTTGCATCCAGTGCTCCATTTCTTTGTTCATTATTCTAACGTTCTATATAGTGTAATGTTTTTTAATTGTTTAAAATAATAATTAGGAATTTTAACTGAAGTTAAAAACAAACCTGAGCTATCAATGGAAATAATTCCCTGAGCTGATGCCTGCTATGCTCCGCCAACATCACTTGTGTGTCCTCCAGCTACAGTAACCAGGTCACAATTAGTCCCTCTACCAGTCATCTTGACAAGTTTTTATTGCCATCAACTATAAGGTATATTCTAGTTTTAGAAACACCAGAATAAAGAGGACAGTGGAGTTATTAGTTAGAATTTTAGCATTTTTTATTTTCTCTATGGCAAGATGGTGGGGTTTCAATTTATTTTTACTACAGTTGTGACCTGCATTAGAAATCACAAAAATAGCTCACACACATAGTCCCTCCAATTTGGGAGGCTGAGGTGGGAGGATCGCCTGAAGCCAGGAGTTTGAGACCAACCTGGGCAATATAGCAAGATCTCCAGCTCCACAAAAATTTAAAAACAAAAAAGTAACCAGCTGTGGTTGTACATGCCTGTAGTCTCAGCTACTTAGGAGGTAAGATCACTAGAGCCCAGGAGTTCAAGGGTGCAGTGAGCTATGATCATACCACTGTTCTCCAGCCTGGGTGTCAGAGACAGACCTTGTCTCAAAAAAACAAAAATGACAAAAATGACAATCTGTAGCCATTGCAGTGGCTCTTTACATGGTAAAAGCATCACTGGTTAATAAAACCATGTAGCAGCTAATGGGATTGGGTAGGGAGTCCTTGGGGTCATTGCCTTGTCAATGTATTTATGAAAACTTAGAAAATCAATGCTTCATGATGACAGTGGCCCAGCCGTTAATAAGTAACATGTTATACAATGTCATTCCAGTTCTAATCCTGCATTTCTTTTAAACCCGGCTCAAGAATCCAAGTTCCATGCCACTTTAATGGCTGCTAACCACGGCCACCATGTTCTCTTTTACTTTCTTCAGTGCTGGTTTTCCCACTCTAGACTAGTCTGTGAGAGTCTGTCCTCATCTATGAAAGCCATTAGAACCCAGTGCTCGGCAGCTTGGTACCTCCAAGAGTTGTAGAATGTAAAGACTGAAGGTACACAGATGGTCATCCACAATAGCATTTCCCAGGATGAATTATCTGGGAAGCCTGAGGATGATCCACACCAGAGAACAGAAATGTTAGGAAAGAAGAGATAAGAGCTAAGTTCCAATCACTGGTGAAGTGAGGGGGTCTGAAAAGGACTGTGCTGTGTGGTTAAGCTTGTCTGTCTGATTCATGGATAGACCAGTAGGAAGGGGGATTCTAGAAGACTGTGCACATTCCTTCCTGTTGCCACCCGTAACTGGGTATCTGATCAAGTTTTACGTGATAGCAATGCTCCGGAGTGACCCGTTTTCCTGAGAGATCATGGGATTCTTGCCAAGAACATAATCTGGAAAGAACGTTCTCCCAAGGGTTGCATGCCTGGTAGTTCTTAGAATTAACCACCCACCAGAATTGATAATCTGCATGCTGGTGATGTATGCATTAATATATGGGTATTCCAAAATAGTAATTTTGCCCCTGTGTCCAGCAAGGGTATCGGGAACAAGAAAACAATACATACTATAATACCCAGAGTTATATTGTGTGGCACTTCTTTGTGTAATGTGGCTTTCTTAGTGGCTTTGTATTTCCAATGACAGTGCTATCACATAGCCACCTCCCATGAAACACTGATGGAAGCATGCTTAACTTAAAGTGGACTTCGTTGTCCACTTTAGCGTTTCATCCACTAGCAATAAATGATAGTACCAGCTAACATAGCTTACCAGGCCCTTTCTTAGCTGATTCCAAGTAAGATTTTATTAATCTTTACAATAGCTTACTAAAGTAGAGACTAGTGTTATCTTCATTTTAGAGATGAAGAAACAGAGATGCAGACAGGTCAAGTAATTTGCCTCAGATCAGATATTGAACAGAGGTGAAAGAACAGTTAGAACCAGGCGGACGCTGGACACATAATCTTAACTACTACTTTAGTTTGCATGCATAAAAACATCTTAGTTATTCTTCCCACTCATTAATGTAAATATAGTCGTTGGCTGTAATAAGCATATGCCTTGATTGGAATACTATAATTCTTTATCAGTTTACTACCGTAAAATTAGCCTATCTGGCATAATTGTAAGTTATTATAGCAAAGTATTATGTGGAAAAACGTGTAGAAAAGTAATGCAGAAGATTTCTGAAGATAGATAACCAGAAAGACTTGTGGGGTGCAAATGTTCACATACTATTGTTTTCAGCTATTTCCATTTGCACACTAAGTCACAGAGAACTTGAGCAAGAAACTCTTTTCCACAAGGTAGAATTCTAAAGGTCATGTTTTCTCTGGGCTTGCAGACAGTGTTAACAAGTTCAAGCTGATTATTTTGACTGATAAACTTTTGAGAAGCACTGTGACAGAAAATCCATAAGAAATGCATCCCTATTATTTTATTTCCAGATATTGAACATCTCTCCAGGGACTCATTTGCATACCACCTTTCATTCATTTTATTGTTCCATATGTTGAAATAATTAAAACAGACAAAGGGCATTTCTTTGTCAGGAGAGCAGAAACCAGTTCATTTATACGACTGTGTTCATGCAGAACCATCACTTACTGAAAAGATCCCAGGTGTGTTTCCTGTTATTCATGCACAAAGTGTGTCAGAGACCCTGCAGAACTAATTAAAATAAGGCTTTGTGTGTGTGTGTGTGTGTGTGTGTCTTTTGTAGGCTAAAGGTAAAGAAAGACAGTGGCTAAGACATCAAGCTACTGGGGAACTAGATGACGCCAAGATCATCGATGGGCTGACTGGAGAAAAAGCCATCTACAAACGTCGGGGTGAGCTGGAGCCGCAAGTAAGTCATGGTGAACTGCTAGCCTCAGCTCTGCATAGTCTAGCCCTCTTTACAGAAACTTGCTTTCTTGGGTCATGTCAAAATATCACAAACCCTGAATATGGCAACCAAGGAAAGCATTATGTGAAAAAAAAAAAGAAGAAGAAGAAAAACTCCATAAATATTATACCATTTATCATTCAACTCAAGGTCCCAGCAAGAAACATAAGGCACGCTCAAATTAGGTAATTTAAGAAACAGTCAATACAAAGACTATTTACAAAAATAAGGGTGGGGTTTAGGAAAATCAAAAATAAACAGTGCAGTAACCCAGGGATAGCAATAGCAGGGATCTAACTCACCCTGAGGTCTAAAAGGGCAGAATGAGAGAGCAGTTCCTGGAACCTGGAGAAGGTGGTGGATGGAGTGGTGGCCTTCAGCAGAAGGGGAGCCAGTCCATGGGCGACAGCACAGAGGGGGCCAAGGGAACACATGCCCCACCCTCAGCCCCTGACCTCCACCAGTGCCTCCCAAGAGCAGAACCCACTGGAAGTCAGCAGCCAGGAAGCCGGCTGATGTGGTTGTAGGGGCCAAGGGAAAATTTCCCCTTCACCCTCTGAAGGTTCTCTGAAAATCACCTCACAAAAGGCACATTAATAGCAGAAGAGGCATACAAATGTATTAATGTGCACTGGGGTGAAACCAAGGGTGAGTCCCCCTCCACACAGTGAGGTACAGATGCTTATGTACCCTTCTTCTTAAGGGAAAAGGAGATGGAGAAGCGTAGAGAAGTGTAGATGATTTTACGGGGATAGTAAATGGTTTTAGGGCAATTCAGTGAGCTTGAAGAACACACAGTGGCCTGGGATGGAGTCTTTTGGGCCCACAGAGCAATGGTGTGTGACAGAAGTCGGTCCAGGTGTGTTGACAGACTTCAGCCTTTCTTCCTGTGATACGAGTTCAGTTGATGAAAACTCAGGGAAGGGCCCAGAGTAATCGTTTTCTTCTTGGGAGCTCTGAACTTTAGACAGTTGAAGAAACTTCAGAGAACAACTTCTCCGGTGCTTTGTGGGGAGAGAGAGGAAGGTCAGAGAGACCTTGATGCTGCCTCTTCAGTTCAGCATGTCCAAGCACCATATTTAGAGGGTATCGATTTCTGAGCCCCAACACGGATTGTCCATACAGATCAACTCCCAGGACACAGAGCAGGTGCCCTGGAGGGGAAACTGAAGACACCTGGTGTGTCTGTTCAGCCTAGAGAAACCTTCAAGTGAAAACAGTAAAACCACCTTGGTGATTTTCTACTGTTCTCTTACTTTAAATATCAGTGTCCCACGTATGTTTATTGCAGCACTATTCACAATAGCAAAGACTTGGAATCAACCCAAATGTCCATCAGTGACAGATTGGATTAAGAAAATGTGGCACATATACACCATGGAATACTATGCAGCCATAAAAAAGGATGAGTTTGTGTCCTTTGTAGGGACATGGATGCAGCTGGAAACCATCATTCTTAGCAAACTATCACAAGAACAGAAAACCAAACACCGCATGTTCTCACTCGTAGGTGGGAACTGAACAATAAGATCACTTGGACTCGGGAAGGGGAACATCACACACCGGGGCCTATCATGGGGAGGGGGGAGGAAGGAGGGATTGCTTTGGGAGTTATACCTGATGTAAATGCGAGTTGATGGAGTGCAGCACACCAACACTTTATAACAAGTATACATATGTAAACCTGCACATTGTGCACATATTGCCCTACAGCTTGAAGTTTAATAATAATAAATAAATTTAAAAAAAAAATAAAAAAAAAAAAAAAAAAAAAAAAAATATCAATTGTCCATCATATAACTGAAAAAATATATAGAAAATAAGAAAGTCTCCTTAAGTAACTATAATTGTAGTATGTAAAGTTTTGAACAGTCATAAATTTAAAATATTTGCAATGTAATAGCAAAACAAAATGGTGACAGGATGAAATGTGAGTCTTGGTGAGCTCTGTGATCTCTGTGTTCCCGAGATGACAAAATTGCTGAGTAGCCACTGAGGAGCTGGGGGTGCAGTGACTGGTAGGGGAAGGGAGAGTCACACCTTTTAAATATTTATTTAGAGAGGATCTGGTGGTGATTTGGGGAGTTCTTATTTCTGTGTCATTGGTATGAGTCAACAGCTGCTTTCTTTACTGAATCATTGTAGTCCAATTGTGTTTGGATACATCTGAAATTGCTTGAGTAGTCATGGAAGCATATGTGTAAAAAAAAAAAAAAAAAAAAAAAAAAAAAAAAAAAAAAAATATCAGTGTCCATCATATAACTGAAAAAAATATATAGAAAATAAGAAAGTCTCCCTTAAGTAACTATAATTGTAGTATGTAAAGTTTTAGACAGTCATAAATTTAAAATATTTGCAATGTAATAGCAAAACAAAATGGTGACAGGATGAAATATTGAGTCTCTTGGTGAGCTCTGTGATCTCCTGTGTTCCCGAGTAACCAAAATTGCTGAGTAGCCACTGAGAGCTGGGGGTGCAGTGACTGGTAGGGGGAAGGGAGAGTCACACCTTTTAAATATTTATTTAGAGAGGATCTGGTGGTGATTTGGGGAGTTCTTATTTCTGTGTCATTGGTATGAGTCAACAGCTGCTTTCTTTACTGAATCATTGTGGTCAACAATTGTGTTTGGATACATCTGAAATTGTGAGTAGTCATGGAAGCATATGTGTAAGTGTCCTTAATTTGGGCAGACTCAACAAGTTTTTAAGAAATACGTTGAATTTGCCTCAAACCATTACACTCTCAATACCCACCGTGTGTTCTTGAAATTACTAACTCTGCTCATTATTTTTTATACATGTCAGCAAATATTTAATAACAGAATAATCTGGAAATTTTCTTCTTCCCTTTTTTTTTTTTTTTTCTAGAGGCAGGGTCTTGCTCTGTTGCCCAGGCGTTAGTGCAGTAGCACAGTCATAGCTCACTACGGCCTCAAACTATTGGGCTCAAGTGATCCTCTCAGCTTACCCAGCTGAGTAGCTGGGAATACAGGCACATAGCACCACCCTAGCTGATCTGTGTGTTTTTTGTAGAGATGAGTTCTTGCTGTGTTGCCCAGGCTGCTTTTGAACCTCTGGCCTTTCTCCCACCTTGGCCTCCCAGAGCACTGGAATTACAGGCATGAGCCCCTGCACGCAGCCTTCCTCATTTTTCTTGTCAGCAAAACTAACAAACTTTTTTTTAAATCTGCAAATTGGCAGTTGTGGGTCTAAAATCAAACTTAATCTTGTAATCTTAATGGACAGTTGTTTCGAGATAGCAATTTGATGCCACTTTTATGCTTTCAAACTGCCAAGAAAAGAAAAGCACTAATTCAGTAATGTGGAAGGAAGAGAAGATGTGTGGCTTACTAAACACAAAAGTCGCTCTTACAATCTTTTCATTAATTTCTTTGCCAGACCCCCATCACATAACTCTGTTTTAGGAATCTGACATTATTTGTGGCCTATGTGGAGAGTAATTTTCAGGTCACTACCCGACATGTACAAGTAAAATTGATATGGGCTTCCCTCCAAAATAACACAAACTCTTGCTAGAGTTACTGACTCTGAGGCATGAAGTGAAAATGACATGTCATTCCAGATTATTAAGTCACCATATTATTTTTAAGGCATCAACCTAAATAAGTCAACTTTACTAGAGTGAGCTTTGAAAGGACTATATTCCAAAGGAAAATATTTTCCATGTGGCCCCAACCATTAGCACAAGTCTGAAATTCTGTTTACTGCAATACAACCCATAGATGCCTTGCTACCTGCTAGGACAGCCTTGTGCAGGGCTGAGCCTATGGCTGGTCTGCCCATCTTGGGGCTGGCACGCCGGGGCTTCTATGAGATCCCCAAGACAGCCACCAGGGAAAGTTTGCCAGTTCACAAATGGCTTTTCTATTATTCCTTCCCTCAGCTTGGCAGCCCACAACAGAAACCCAAGCGTCTGCGCCTGGTGGTGGATGTGTCTGGTAGCATGTACCGTTTCAACAGAATGGATGGCCGGCTCGAGCGCACGATGGAGGCTGTGTGTATGGTCATGGAAGCCTTCGAGAACTATGAGGAGAAGTTCAAGGTAATGACATGAACTAAGAATAATGAGAGGCATCATTGACCACGATGATGGATAGGTAGATTCAAACTCCATCCAGAGTGAATGAAAATCTTCATCCTCTCACCAGCTCTTTCATCAGTGCAGAGAAAGTGAAGCTTTTGTTTTATCTGAAGGAGTAATTGTAAAATAATGCCATAATTTAAAAGACTGATTACTACAGAAGAAATGCTGCAGCCATGATGTTAGAAAAAAATGAGCTGCTTAGAAGCAAAAGTCTATTCCCAGACTCCTCAGAGTCTCCTGTCTATCCTTATCCCAAGTCCCCATACCCACCCACTCTTGTCCCATCACTAGCCAAGCAGCCTTCCAAAGTTCGAGTGCACCCTGAAAGCTTCACTATCACGTTCCATTTCCATGTGGGCAAGGGTTATACAGTCACTGGTGTCTCCCCAGCTAACAATGACGATGATTATCCCAGGAGAAAAGCAGCCTTCCTTTTCAACTGTTTCCATTTTGGTATTCTTAGTTTGCACTACACCCTCCATTTCAGAAGTCTGAGCGTGGAGAAGGGATCCGCAGTGCTGCCGTGTTACTGCTTGATATGAGCCTCTTAATCCTCTCTTAATCAGCCACAGAGAGCACCTGCACTTCTGGCCCTTACCAGAGCAAACAACCTTGAATTCAGTCACCTGCCATGGAATTATTATCAAAAGTTCAATCAGGAGAAATGCTGTATGTGCAGACATGCGAGAAGGACACACAGTCCATAGACAGACTAGATTTCATTACAGATCAAACATGTCCTTCAGAAATGGGGGATCTTAGATTGCTATTAGGCTTGACATCACACATGCACCTCAGGATTGCTTCCCTGAGTTGTGTCTCTGTGTTATGAGGTATGCAACAAGAAACAGATTGATGAAACCCATCACTTCATTTCCTTTAGGCCCATTATTAAGGATACTGCCCCCCTGAATTTCCCAGGGCCCCTTGTGTGAAGCTCTACATGAGGAATTCCTTTTAGAATTAAGTGGAAGAAGGGCAGCTTCAGCTAATGAATGCTGTGGGTTGCCGGACTCTGTCCAAGTACAGGACACGAATACAAATAAGACATGGACTTTCACTGTGGGGAGCAGCTTTGTTTCCCTTGAAGAACTGAAATGTGTCTCCCCTTGTGATTAGTGAAAGCCATGGAGCCGCTTAAGATTCCCTCTTGGTTTTAGTTGCCAGGAAGCTCAGAGCCAAAATCAAAGACCAGCTATGACAACTTTGTTATGTCTCAAGGCTTGCAGACCAGTGTTCAGCTTTTTCCTTTTCTTCACCCTTGCTCCCTTCAGATATGTTTTCCTTGATTTTTTTTATGCTTTATGTGTTTATAGAAAATGTTTATTTTAAAACATTTTAGGTCGTTTCTATATGAGATAGATTATAGCTCTTAAATCACTTGGACCACTGATGACTAAAGAATACTTAGACATCTATTGTATCAGCATAAATACCCATATCATACCTAATGTTTCAAAACCTTTGAGTGTTGCCAATATTTGGATCAGTCCATTTTCCTGTTTTATGGATCTTGAATTTCAGTGTTCCTCAGCTCTCTTTGAGCTATAGGGAGGTTTTGTTTTGTTTTGTTTTGTTTTGTTTCTAGATAGCGTCTCGCTCTGTCACCCAGGCTGGAGTGCAATGGCGCGATCTCGGCTCACTGCAACCCCTGCCTCCCGAGTTTAAGCGATTCTTCTGCTTCAGCCTCCTGAGTAGCTGGGATTACAGGTGCCTGCCACCATGCCCGGCTAATTTTTGTATTTTTAGTAGAGACAGGGCTTCACCATGTTGGTCAGGCTGATCTCAAAATCCTGACCTCATGATCTGCCCATCTCAGCCTCCCAAAGTGCTGGGATTACAGGTGTGAGCCACCGCGCCTGGCCCTACAGGGAGATTTTAAACCAATGTAGACCATAGCAAATATACTACCATTAAAATTGGCAGATTCGTAGTTAGCTTGAATAAAATCTCCTGTTAGAAATAGGATGTCTACATTTTTGAGAGCAGAACTGCTCTGACATGTGAAACTACCTCTCCCAAGTTTTTAGAAAGAAAATTCATTAGGAATTAACCAACAAATTGGTTGACACAGCTCCCTCCCAGGACTGGGTCAAGGATGAGACAGGGAAGAAGGTGGCAAGGCTGCTGGTGTTCAGGGAGCCGTTCCGACGCCTCCAGGGAGGTGGTATGACTGTCACACAGCAGGCTGAGTATTTCATTGCATCTCACGCAGCCGAGTGTATAGAAAGATCCCCATGTATTCAGTTCTCACTTATAAAAGTGTATAATATGGAAGAACTATTAATGAAACGAGACTTGTCACACACGCAAAAGGAATAATATCAAGGAAATGAGCATTTCACAAGATGTTGTTTCATTTTTTTTATTGACAGTTACAAACCAAACTGTTGCCATATGACCAGCTGGATGTCAGTTAAATTCAGTGAAATTACAAACATGACCTGAGCACTTCCTAAGAGTACAGCACTCTGCTGGGTAGCCCAGTGAGGGAGAGGATGAAAACTACTCACTCTGATAGAAGGTTCAGTGAGCAATGTGCGAGCAGAGCGTGCTTCCTCACACATGCCTCTGTGGGTATCATCCCTAAAACAGTGTTTTGCTAATACGCTCTTCAGTTGCCACAATAGTGTAAAGAATTTCCTCAGTCTTTATCAGACAACCACAGATATATTGAGAAGACAACCATAGTAACATCTGACTGAAAAATCCAAGTGAAATTGCAGCAAGACACGGAGATAAAATCAATTTTTCAGGCCTTGAAGTCATTGTTTATGCCATTAAATTCTTAACAAGAAGCACATTAATGGTTTTAGTTCCATCGCATTTACTACAGTTACATTAGAGCCTTATTTAAGACCATAGAAAGTCTTAAGAAACCAGTGTATTAAAATCTTTCCAACCAAAGGAAGAGACCTTAAAGCATCACAAAACAGGCTCTTTGAGCGTCTGTCAGAAAAATTGATACCTGGGTGAGTGTCTGGAGGGACAAGGTGGACCCAGCAAGGCATATGAGTCCTGTTCCTGCAAACTCCTGATCGTGTCCACAGACTTTAGAACTGGGATCACCTCGGAAGCCATGTACTCCACCGTCCTCATTCCACAGACAGGTGGATTTTCCCTGCGGTCAGAAGGCTAGCAGGAGATGGTAGCGTAGAGCCCAGGACTCTTATTTGTTTTTCCTTTTTTTGTTTGGTTTCATTTTTAAACTTTCTCCTTTATTTCCCAACTTTTTAACTTGAAAAATTTTAAACCTACAGAAAGGTTGAAAGAAAAGTAAAACCCCCGTGCCCTCAGTTAGGTTCACTAATTGTTACTGTTTTGCCTCACTTGCTGTGTTTCTCTCCAAATATTTACAGTACTCTGTCTACTCCCTCCCCCAAATCATTTGAAAGTAAATTAAAAGCAGCATAATGCTTTACCTCTAAATACTTCATTATGTCTTCTAAGAGTAAGGACATTCTCTAATACAACTTCAGTGCCATTATCATGCCTAAGAAAATTATCAGTAATCCCATACTGTCTTATAATATCCAACTCAAATTCAATTTTATCGTTTGTCCCAAAAGTATCTTTTATAATTGTCCCCTCTCCCTGCTGTCCACCTAGGAGCCAAAGTTCACACCTTACTTTGCCTCTTTTAGTCTGGAACAGCCACTTCCCCTACCACAGCATTTTTTTGCTTTTCATGACAGTCACTCTCATGACCCTCTCATGAGGGTCCAGGCCAGTTGTCTTATAAATTCTTTTTTTTTTTTTTTGAGACAGAGGCTTGCTGTGTCGCCCAGGCTGGAGTGCAGTGGCGTGATCTCGGCTCACTGTAGCCTCCACCTCCCAGGTTCAAGCGATTTTTCTGCCTCAGCCTCCTGAGTAGCTGGGACTATAGGCGCATGCCACCATGCCCGGCTAATTTTTGTATTTTTGGTAGAGACAGTGGTTTCACCATATTGGCCAGGCTGGTCTCAAACTCCTGACCTCATGTTCCGCCCACCTTGGCCTCCCAAAGTGCTGGATTATAGGCGTGAGCCACTGCGCCCAGCCCTAGACAGTTTCTTATACTGGATTTTCTGGTTGCTTTCTCATGGTGCCATTTAACTTGTCCCAATATCCCCTGTATTTTCAAAACTCCTAATAGGCCTTCTCTCCATATGGGACTTTGTATCATCTTCCTACCAGCCCTGCCAACGTGTCTGAGATTTAAGTACCCACAAGCCACCCAATCTCTGCTAGGGCTCCCCAGGCCAATGTGCAGGGCAGGAAGGAGGTAGGATGGAGCTCCTTACATTCTATAAGAGTTATTTCTATTTATAATTACAGTCGTCCCTTGGTATCTATGAGGGATTGGATCCAGGATCCCTCTCAGATACTAAAACCTGTGGATGCTGAAATCTTCCAGTTGGCCTTCCTCTCCATGGGCTCCACATCTGCATATACAGAGGGCTGACTATAAATGTTTGGGGGTATATAGGTGATTGGTGCACACAGCAGAAAGTTTAAGAGGTATAAAAGGAGGAAGAGCGAAGAGTGAGCCACTGCCTGCCCCCTCTCAGCTCCCAGCTTCTCTCTCCAGTACAACCACTATTAGTGGAATTATCAGTCTCTTCTCAGAGATGTTTGATGCACATACATTCAGTGCTTGTGTACCATGCATTCTGTTCTGTATCCTTATGTTATATGATCATATTCAACTGAATACTTTCATTTTCTCATTTGTGAAAGGCATAAAGGGAATAGGAATAACTAACAAAAGAATTTAATGTACTCAGAAAATAGAAAATTATGCATGAACAGAAGACAGTTTGAGGAGCTCCTAGAGAAAAATGTATATTCCATAGCCCAGAATGGCATCACACATGGGGTCATTAGGAATTCAGCAGTGTGATCTGAGACTCCCCAGCCCCAGCTCCAGACAGTTCTTAATGTTGTCTTCCTGCAGTTTTCCCTCCGTTGTAAAGGTG